TAGTACAGTGTAAAAACAAAAATGATATTAATTGAGGTAATTATCAAATGAAATGTTGCTGAATTTGTCAGTTGTACTTTTTTCCCCTAACAAAATATAACAAAATTATTAAAGTTTTGACTTTTTTTAAGTCGATATAAAAATGTCTTATGATTTTCATCTATGAAAATTTAAATTTTATTTAATATAAAATTATATCATCTGTCACTTAAAACAATTGTTATTAAAAAATTGTTTTCCACCAGAAAAACCAGTAAGAAGAAATAGTACTTGCCCATCACAGAACTGGACACAAAAGACTAACACATAGGTATCCTTTTTTAATAGATGCCTAACTGATATGCTTAAGTTGACAAACCCCATTTATCATCAAACATATATTAATAATATGCCCACAGTACAAAATAGCTAAAGAACTCTAACTTCGACAACATACATCTTCAGACGACCAAACTTTATGGAATATACTAGATCATAATGGATAAATTCAAACTACAATGGCATATATGAAGACAATAAACTTATATACCAAACTCTAGAACAGTGTTTCTCAACCTCTAATGAATCGTTGCCCCCTTCACTTCAAAATTCCGATGCCAAGGGCCAAGGCTAATGCCAAATTCGTACTGCATTGAATAGACTAGTGACTAGTATAATGTTATTTGTTTAATTATTGTACATTATAACAAATAAAATATCTAATTATTCTTAATATAATGTTTTACTATATTGCCCAGAAAATTGTTTTCGTCCCCAAAATATAAATTGTTACTAATTGTCCCCTCAACATGGAAAAATGCCCCATGGGGCAATTTCACCTATGTTGAGAAACACTGCTCTAGAACATACATATTAAGACCTAAAAGACCTGGCAACAAAACTGACTAAATCTGACACTTTGGCCAATCTAGGTCCTTGTACTACAAACTCTCTAACCAGTGAACTACAGAAGATATGTTTTTAATGTCTTGATATAATTTATGACTATATAATTTCAATATCTAAAGCAAAATAGTAAGATTGGACTAAAGATTAATACCAAAATATTTTAATAAGGATGCAATGAAAACAGTTTTTAGTAACTTTTGATATCTTAAATCAGTCATGTGAAAAAGTACTATATCTCATTGTAAAACTTTAAATATAATTTTTAATAGGCCTGTAAACTAATTAAATTTTCCAATTTAAGTTTCCTTGTTTAAAATTGATTGAGCAAAAAATTTTAAATCAAAATTTAAATGAAATCTGCAAATAAAATTCAAATAAATTCTCTTTATTGAATAAAGAGATTTTATTTTAATATTTTGATGGCCAGTCAATAATAAAACTGTAAGCTTTTATTAGTCTAGTAGTAAATTTGTTTAAATACAATTAAACTATAGTGATAATTATTGAAATGAGCTAAAACAATGATGATTTATAAAACAGTAAATTGATACAAATTCAAATGGGGTAATTTATAAAATATAAATATTTTAAGAATTATTATATTTAAGGAAGCTTCTCAAATGCTAATATAATTCAACCTAACTCCCATAACAATTCTGAGGAAAACATTTGAATTTATTCTATTTAATTAGCCTGATGCATATTTCTTTCCTTTCAAAGAAAACTTGTTAGATGTTGATAGAATTTGAAAAATTTTACTCTTAATCAGTATTCTCTAATTACATATTTTATAGTGTTTATGTAAGTCCAAAATAGACAAAAGTAACATAAATATTGCATTTATTGATGTAAGATTTATCATAAAAAAAAAATGAAATATTAATTAGTAGAGATAGTAGTTGGAAAGTTGTAATTGAGATCATCTTTGAATATTGANGAAGAAAAATAATTACATTTTTCGTGCATGTGTGTTTGTATGTACAGTACATACACTAGTATGAAAGAAGTTTTGTATACAATGAATAAATCTGTTGGAAGTTTTTTTATATCAAATATAACATTTAAATCCAAATTTAAATCTGATTTAATAGTTTGTAGAATTTCGCCGGATGAAAATTTATTTTAATCACAAAAGACAGTCTGTCCAAAAATTATTTTTTGAAACCACCATTTATTCTGATTATGTGTTCCAGAACACCATTGACAACCCGACCTTTCTTTGTAGGCTACTAGGTCGTCAGGCTAAAACATTCTTTAAAAAACACAAAAATATCCAATTAAAACATTAAAAGTAAAAAATTGGAACTGGTGGCCTTACAGACGTCTTGAACTTGCATCCTTTCCAGTTAGGGAATTTCAGTCCTTATATTCATTTGATAAATGTGCTGTTAAATGTAAATTTTGGCCTTATCCCTCTGGTGACGAATTACTTCTAAAAAAGTTTTGTTTGTAGAATTTCGCCGGATGAAAATTTATTTTAATCACAAAAGACACAGTCTGTCCAAAAATTATTTTTTGAAACCACCATTTATTGTCTTTTGTGATTAAAAAAAAAAAAGTGATTTAATAGTATTTCTAACATGAACCAGATGATCTAGCTAATTATTTCACTAACAATAAGTAAGTGAATAACTATTCACTTTTTACTCATACTTTTAATTAACATTCTAAATATTTTAAAAATCATCACTGCTAACCTCTACTAAATTTGGAGTTTTAATATGAATACAATGTTTCAGACTGTGTGTTAATAAGTTATAGTTTTAAGATAAGTTCGTCACACTATGATTTGTCATTTTGATTTTGATATTAAATAATCTTTTGCTAATTTGAACTGTGTAAACTTGAAATCAAAGCTAAAATTTTCATTCAGTATTGCATCTTAATTGTATCTGGTTAAAATGTGGAAACAACTTTTTTTATATGAAAAAGTGCAATATATATTGTAACAATAAGCATTAACCTTATGCTTCGGTATCCAAACTTATAACAGAAGTGTACCTGAAAATGCATTGGTAATTCCTGGGAATTTATCAACTGTTAACCATGAGATTCAGGGACCCTAAAGTGGTTGATATTGATTCCAGAAGTTGCTAATGCATTTTCAGGGAGGTTGATAAAAACAGCTTCTTAATAAACTGTTGAATTTAGTCCAGCAAATTATCTGACAGTTCAAAATGATGTAAATTTGCATACTGTAAGATATTTTCTATGAAAACAGTGTGTTGATTAATATTGGCTCACTAGCTTTATTTTCATTATTATTATGTTGTGAATGTCATGCATATCTGATACTGGTGCCAAGTGCTATGCTGGACTAAAGTCAAGGCATAGCTGTCTAAACAAGTGTAACATTAGGCTTCTGGTTTATTGGTGTATGTGTGAATGTCTAGAAACTTTCTAAGAATATGAAAATGTGTTCAATATTCTGGCTTTCTGTAGTGTCATGTATATGTTTTTATTAAGGTTTAACATTTCTAGACTCTTGTATAGTGTGTGATATGACACCAGTGGAAGAGAGGACAATAGGCATAATAAATAGCTTACAATAAATGCTCTACAGGTACCGTAATTCATGGGCAATTGGAGTGTACTTTTTGATTTTTTAGTGTGAGCAATTGGAATGGAGATGTCTATTGTATGAGTGATCTTTATTGCATTTGTCAATGAAAGTGATGTCAGGTCTATTGTGATGAATTTTTATCTACAATTTATGACTGTTAGAGTATATTTGGTGTCATTTTCTAATACTGCCTGTGGAGTTATCTGGGTATTTAATAATCTGTGTTTGTGTGCAAACTCTTGATATATTTGCTATTTGACTATGCTTATGTAAATAGTCTATTTGTGCTAAGAGCTTGTAACCACAGGATGTGTATTGTATTGGTTCTCATAGAATTTGGAATTTTTTCCACATGATTTTTTTTCCTTCAGAATGTGTTTTCTGTAGTATTTATGACCTGATTTTTGAATGGCAACCATAAGCCCTTCTCTCTTCAAACAGGAAGTCCTAGTCAGCCAGTAGATTGATTGCAGTTTTGTCAGCATAGTTCTGAGCTATGTCATAGGCATGCCATGAAGCACCCTTTGTACCCATGACTGCTTAGTGGTAGCTCAACACACAAATGATATAGGCATGTCCAGCTGTCTGTCAGAGTTATAGCGCTATGTAATCTTGATGTTCTTGTTTTTTGATATTTTTGTTAACTGTATTAGCAAAAAAAAGAAGAGGGGATAGATAAAATGTCAAAATCCTTGAAGTCAAAAGTTTTTTGGGGATCCTTGCTGTAGACTTTTTATTTATTTATAAAGTTTTCTTTGTTTTTGTGATATATGAGGAAACTTAGAACATTTGTACTTTTTTCCTCTCTTTATTATTAAGATAATTCTTAAATGCTGAATAAGTTTTCTAATTATATTATGTAATGTATGCTCCAGTACGACAGTGAATATTTTTCCATTTTGAAAGTGTCATTTTTTTCTGGAATTTTTAAAAATGAGTAACGATAATGTAATAATGAAGAAATATGTGTAAAGAGATACCAAATTTGTACTTAATGTAACATCTGCTGAACTATAAAGAATGATGCAGAGTGAAATTAAATAATCTTGTCATAGATCAGAAATTATCAATGTGAAAAAATTGATAGCATTATCATAACAATGGAATTTCTTTGATATATGACAATAACTGTTTTTGTCTTTTGTTAGATTTAGCTCCCTTTTTTAAATTAGAGATAATCTTAGTTCCTTCAGTTATACATTTTGAATGATATTCACTAATATTACCTTATGATCTTAATATTTGGAGACTTTAATAGAAATATATCAACAGTTGGATAATATTTTTTTTTCTGTACTCTTAACATATTGTTGGTTTGGTAAAACAATTTTATGTTTAAACTTAATACAGTCAGTGTATATTGAAAATTGAATAGTGTTGTCTGTTCTTAGTTACTAAATAAGAATAACTATTATACATGCATATGTATATGTATGCTTTCATACATGAACAAACACAAAATATATGAGTTTTATAATTGAAAGGCATTTCTTAGAAAATGGAAACTACTATTATTTATTAACATTTTGAAAATAATTTATATTTTCAGGTTATTTCTATTGTTTATGCATCTCTAGGAGCAGCAATATTTTCAATGGTAAGTAGTAAATTTTAATTACTCTTTGATTGAAGTTTAAAATATTTTTATTAACTTGTATAAATTTTAAGTAAATTGTTGTTAGAAACTTTCAGGTGGTCTAGTTGTTTACATTTTTCCCTATTCAAGACAATTTTAATAATTGTCATATAAAAATCAATAGCAAATTTTATAAAAGAATAATTGAATTTGTAGTGTGAATTAATGATTNTCAAATTTGACACGATTCCAATACTTTTCCGTTTTATATACATAACAAGTTGGTAAGTAAAAAGGAGTCGGAGTCAGCGGATTTTTTGACGACTCCAACTCTGGCTAAAACACCAAAACTCCACAACTCCGACTCCACAGCCCTGATTATTAGGGAAAAATAATATGTCAGAAAACTGAAAATATAGAAATTAGGATGATGACTCAACGAAGTGGTTTGGTCACATTACAAGAATGAGTGAATATAGTTTGAGGGCTATTTTGAAATGAAATAGAAGAGCAAGATACAGAAATCCAGGTAAAGATGGAGAGGAGTTAGGAGCAGAATTGAAGAATGTTGGAGTTGGAATGATACAAAGAAATGAAGGTGTTGATTCAACCAATCTGGTAAAACACTAGACAAAACAACGAAGACAATTTGTAATTTAATTTTGAAATTAAGGCAAGTTCAAAGTAATTTTATATTACTAGCATTAATTTAACAGATTTTCCATTAGGCCTACTAGCCCCAGGCCTAAGAGTATAAGAATTTGGAGGCACAAGAATTCAAAAATAAATTTTTTTTCATTATTTCATGTATAAACAATGCTTAAAGGAATTAATAAAAAAAAAAAACACTACAAGCTTGAGTAGGGACAAAATAAGACACACATCAATTGAGTAATATTAAAATATGAATTTATTTTGCATGAACAATGGCAATACTGATGAGTTTTCAATAGCAGTGTCCTTTTGTTCAATTTCAATACTTATTGAAAAAACTGATAAAAATATACTTATTGCAGAATTAAAATTTTAAAGTAATGCCACTTCTGCACTGAATAATACTATTAGTTTGGAAACTGCCTGAATATTGGAGCCATAAAGGTGCCATATTTCTAAATCTGTGTTGATTACTATGTATACTCGTAATAGTATTCTTTTACGTAAAAATATCTGGCGTAGCACTATATTTTGGTCAGCTTGGACATGGTGTGAAAGTACATGGAAAATGATTGAATGCGTGTCAGAGGTTCTTATTCAATGCGCCTTGCAAATATTAATTTTTGATGCTTGAAAATTCAAAAGTTTGTAGCGAATGGTTATAAGTCGTAATAGACACGTTCCACAAGCGCTGCGTAGCCATAATTTATCTATTAAATGATCAATCATTAATTAACGGCTGCTGCTGAACAGCTATTCTGACATCATTCCGAATTTTTTTTATTTTTAATAATTTTTTAATTAGGTAAAAATTATAGAAGTTTTGCATTTGCATATTTAATAAAATACTGTCAACATCGGAACCGTCACTAACCTTCATATTTGTAGTATCTTCGGTTTTGGTTTCGTTTTGAAGTAAGACGAAGCAGGATCTGAGGTTAGTTGTAAAATTGAAAATGTAGTAATAGTAGTAGTAGAATTATTGGAAAAATTAAATGTTATCAAAGGACCAGCAAGTGAAACCATATCAAAAAAATCGCAAAGAGTTGCGTAACTTTCCCGGCTGTTACAGAAGTTATTTCTAAAGAATTTTATATTACTGTATTACAATTGTGTGTGGCGCTATCTGTTATGAGATTGTTATAAAAAAAAAAAAAAGTATATTTTTAATTATCGAATGGCAAAAAGCTTAATTCTGAGGGTAGGGATGAGATTGTTAGCATTTACAATATTCTATGAAAATCTTCATTAAGTCCGACACCTCTCGAGATATATCACATGATCACCTTGTATCTCCCCATCCCTTTGACCATTCACAACCAAAATTTAATAACATCAATGCCTCGTATACAAGCTACGTGCCAAATTTCATTCCTTTATCTTCACCCGGTCCTGAGATAATAAGCAAATAGACGCCAACATAACACATACAAGAATTTTTTTTTTTTTTTTTTACTTTTCTAGGTTCAGGAGTCTCAAAACGTGGAGATTTGTAAAAAAATTCGGAACGTCAAATTTGACCACTACTTTGTTCCCCCAACAGCTGGAAACGTAAAAGCTACGGCTATAGGTTAAAATTTTGCTACTATTAATATTTTGAAACAATGGAATTTTGACGATGTATAATTATTTCTGCCGGAAGAAAACATCTCAGAAAAGGATAATGGAAAAGACATTCTATACAGTTCCGAATTATCTTTACCATAAAAATCACTTCCATCTAGTAGCACTTTATATTCAATTGTCCGGACAGTGAAGATTATGATCCAGAATCTAAAAAATCAAAAGCAGAATACATATCGCTTGACACAAAAATTAAAATACTAAATTTGGTAAGAAAACATCCTAATTGGAGTTTAATAACCATTCAAAAGAATGGAGGTAGTGCTCTTTGTTCTAAAAAGGACCTACAAAAATGGAGAAAGCAAATTGAAAAAAGGTGGAGGTGTTAAAGAAAATTTTGACTTGATTGACAAGTTTCGATCGCTTCAGTGAAGCCTGAACCTGTGACAACGAGAATATTGAAGCAATTGGCTTCAAAAGTTGCTGTCCAATTTGAAGGGCCAGAGATTTTTTATTTATTTAAGTACACTTTGGCCTTTCGGCCTTTTTCAAAGTGAATAATAAAGCTTTTACTTTACAGCAGTGTTTTCCAACGTCCCAATTTCCAACGGGGGAAATTCGATTGTTAAGAAGCAATTCGAAAATGGACTCGTCCAGAATTTAAGTTAACCGTATAGCCGCTGTATATGTTAGGGGGCATAAGAATTTTAGAAAGGTTTTGGTGGGGCATAGCACAAAAAAGGTTGGGAAACAGTTTTACAGCATCACATGGATGGATTAATAAATTTATTCTATTCGTCAGATAAAGGTTACAAAGAATATAAAATCAAAAAATTCATTAGATCTATCCACTATTAAAAAGCACAAGTTCCAGGAGCGAATTGTGAAAAATTTTTTAAATTTCCATCCTAATTTTATAATACAGATGCGGATATCGCACGGATATACGAAGAACTTTGTCCACCAAAGGTAAAAAATCCTTTCTCAGCGATTTTAACAGTTATTCAGTTACTGCGTTAATCAAAGTTTGAGGGTTCAATAAAGATCCCGCTAAGCACCACCGCCGGTTGCCTCTTATCTACTATGGCTCCCGCAGCAGACAACGAGCAGGAACAAGGGCCTAAGTGGTGCCCGCAGTTACAAAAATAAGCCAGCAAAGGCTTTTGTCATCGACCCATTGGCCGCGATCAAATAATGTGCTCCGACATGTCCCAACAACAGATAGTTGGGAACCAGAAACTACACATTTGATCTTAGCCAAAAAGGTCAATATGCCATAAGTTTTTGGAATACATCTTCCGAAAATTTTCCTTTTGTATGCAATAACCATAAGGAAATTTTGGACCTTGTATTACTAGTAATATTAATTAAAGACCTTACAGACCCGTATGGAAACATATTCGTCACAGCATCAAAGTCTGGAAAATTCACGAAGGACCATTTTAGCAGCTTCGTCAAAGAGGTATTGTTAGATTATTGGAAGAATCAAGAACTTGTACTGATTCTGGATTCATGGAAGGTCCCAGATCAGGCCCATTTTAACAGTGTTTACAGATGATAGCAACTGCAAATCGGTTATTGAAATTATTCCTCGCTGTACTCCCTATTGTCAACCTCGTGATGTCTATTTCTTCCGACGAGTGAAACATTTCATTAAGAAATTTCAAATGTCTGTTCAGATTTTGCAGAATAAATTATCTACTAGGGAAGATGCTATAAAAACTCATTCACTTATTCATCATCACTTAACCTCTCCTGTTTTCGAAGACATGATAAAATATGCACGGTTTGCATCGAAACTGATTACACAACGTAACATATTTAACAACATAAACCAGATATGTTTTCCGTCCATTTAAGGTATTTAATACGAGCAATTATTAATGTCGGGCTGCAATTTTTAATCATATTTTAAATTTAATTTAAAATACACTGGCGTTCAAAATTAAGAGAATTTACATATTTTGTCGATTTTAACAAGAAATAATGAACCGAAAGTACAAATTACGCTGCCGAATAAGAATGCAATTTTTTTTTGTGCTGAATACGTAAGAATGCAATTTCATTAAAAATTTTTCTAATTTCGGACGATAACGGAGCCAGATTAGTAACTTTTTCACGCTGGCATGGTCCAAGATTCTAGGGCGGTGTCTGCTACTGCTGAGCGCCATCTCGTTACAAAAACTAAAAAACATAAATTGATTTATAGTTGACAGTAGTTTAGAAATAAGACACGACAAAAAAAAAATTTACAAAGAATCAAATAAAGTTTTTTTTTACAAATAAACCTTGAAATGTCAGCTGTCAAAATATATAATGACAAATATGATTTAAAATGAAATTAGTGGGTAAAAATACAACTAATCCTTCTGATGGTAAAAAAATGAAATTACTTTCCGAACAACCCAATAATTAATATTTATTGAAGAGTTTTATGCTTTATTATTTTTCTTATATGATCTTATACTAAGCATGAATTTTTCTTATTGTGTAAATTATTATTTTTTGAATAAACACCCTGTTTGTTATATCTGTGCTTATGATAATTTGTCTTCTCATTCCTAAAGTTCCACAAACATTTTTATAATTTATTACTATTTAATATTAATTAACAAATAATTTCAAATATGATCTTTTTATATGGAAGATTGTAAAATTTTTATTGATTTTCATTGCTTTGATTAATGTATTGAAAACTGATATCAAATATTCCTATCTTTTTACCATTAATTACCCAAAAAAAAAAAAAAAATTATCACAGTAACATGAGAATACCTATCTAGAAATGAGATGTCACAATCACC